TCATTACAACTATTGCATTAACAATAGACCCTTTTAGAATATTATGATTTACTGTTAATTCAATTGTTAGTATAAATTGTGTCAACAAATTATATATAAATAACATTATTCTTACAATTATTGTCATTGGTCAAATTTTAAATTTAACATTACATTTGGTACATGATAATTAAATATAAAAATAAAACAACCATTTTTGAGTCATACTCTATGAAAATTTATTTCCATTACCATGAAAATGATTTTATTCCAGCTTGTAAAATTAGTTTTTTTTTCTTAAATATGAGCTTATATGATCTATTGATAAGTCCAAATTCACTAAAAACCAAAAGACCCAATTCTTACCATTATCATCCCCAACCACAACCACCTCTACTCCATATCCACCTCCACCTCCGCCATCACCACTGCCACACTCCCCATCCATCACCACCACCACCATCGGGAGCACAAGTTTGGGTTCCGAATTTATGATATGGGAGTTAATTCTATTCTCATGTTTATTTTTTTTCTTCTTAAATCATTATTTCGCATCAAAACGCAATGTAAGATAATTTGGATTCATTAAATTCTGCATTTGGATCATATGTGTTGGGTTAAGCTAGTTAAGAATGGATTAGATCGAGTTATAAAAACCCGTCTTTTTCGCCGTTAAGAATTGAATGGTTACGGTTTAGTCATCTTATTTGCATGATTGAAATGTCTTTTTGGGGTTAACAAAAATTTATATGTAAATTTTGACCTAAGACTTCTCTTCACTTACAAAATAATTGAGCATATTTCTTTTGTATTGTGAAAATGTATCCATAAAACTAGATTTAATTTGTTTTGATTCCTATAAGAACTCAGAGGTAAGAGATCATTTACACGAATAAATATTTGTTTTAATGGTTATATTGCGTGAGATTTGTATGGAATAACCAATCATCATTTGAAATCCCTCGTACACCAGTTATGAGATTATGAACATATGCACAATTATAACAAATTAAAATTAACTTCAATGGATAGTTCAAATAGTAATAGACATAAACTGTAAATTCAGAAATCTTTAATTAGAATATTGACAATCATTTGGGGTCAGGCCACGAAAAATAAATTCTTTATGAATATCCTAATCTCGACGTGGATGATTTGTCTTTAACTAGACAGGGGAGAGAATTAATCGATATACGCATAAACTGATTCAAACACTTCTAATTGTTAAAAAAAAATATAAAAAAATCAGAAATGATGTCCCATAAGATCCATCAATAATTACCATGTTTAAAATATGGTTAATTAAACCGGAGGTTTCCAAAATATAAGATTTGTCTCCTTTTGGTTTCAAATATTTCAACTGCATCATTTTAATTTCTAAAATATTGAATACATTTCTCTGTAGTTCTTCAAGCAGACAACATCCAAATTACTAACGATTTTTAATTATAAATTGATGATACACAAATTGGTTTCGGGCAATATTAACAGTCGAGTATATGTAATGGTGCAATTAATGAGCAATAAATAGGAAATCAATGGCAAAACGGTAAATATAAGCAGACACACCCATATATAGTGGTTCGGTCCGAATGAGCTACTCCACTCTCGAGAAATGGCAGCGGTAGTGGGAGGTGTTTTATTGATGAATAAAGTAACCAAAAAAATATACTCCAAGAGTATTACAGTACTTTAAGAGAGAGATTCTAGGGAGACATAGAGAGGACAAAAAATAGAGGTTTCAATGTCATGCCCCTCCATGTAGAGAAGACTTACATTATATAGGTTTGGTGAGGCGGTGACATGAGGGAGATGACTTACTCTTTTGGTAAGCACAATTAATGTAGGATTGAATTTCCATGAGTGCGTATCCTGATAGTTTCTCTCACGTGCTTCTATCTCTTCGGACTTTTTGGATCCTAAATTGGGTCGGACTGGCAAAGTGGGTCTATGCCGCCCTTTAGTTGACTTGGGCTTAGTTAATTTATTAGGCTTGACACAGTTGATTTTTGGCTCATCATAAACTTATTACGTGATACTCAAATATAAAAAAATAATAATAATTTAGGTGGCTCTTGACCAAAATTTGGATAGCTCTTGACACAAAATAAGTAATATGTGTTGCTCTTGATCAAAATTTGGATAAAAATTTGATTAAAAATTATCAAAATTATTTGTTTTACCTATATTTAGGTATCATGTGATGAGTTTACAATAAAAAATTATTAGCAATCTGGATGTTGTCTGTTTGAGGGACGACATAAAAATATATTTAATATTTTAGGAATCAAAATGATTCAATTAAAATATTATGAATCAAAATGAGACAAACTCTATATTTTGAAGACCTCTAATATAATTAACCTTTTAAATATTTGACAAAGTCCCAGACCCAAAAAAAAAAATAAAGGACAAAGTCAAATAGTTGTAAATTTTCTACGGTCTTAGTTGATCGCCTCTTTCCACGGTGATTTCTAGGTTTTCTATCTTTAGGTTCTTAACATTGATAAGTCTCGATCAACTGCACCAGACGTTTAATTGCATGATTTTGACTTTTTAATGTTTGACTTTATCTCATCTATACAAAACATTAAATTTTGACATGTGTTCCATCGCATGCAGCACTTGGGTTATGGCAAAGTATCAAGCGTACATTGATACTTCGATCATGTGCACCACTTCCATCGTGACAAAATGGTTGTGTATTGTATGTTGGTGCAGTGGCGTACGTCTATGTGTCAGTCATTTTCGGTGCATCGGTCGTAGGAACATGATCGTGTACAATATATCGATCGTAATAAATTTTTACAAATTCAAATAATTTTTATTTATCTCTCAACTCAATCACCCATAATGTATTGCTAAAAAATCCACGTAAATGAGACAAGATTCACTGCAAGACATACTGGATGATTGGTTCAAGGCTAAGTAGAAGATAAAGGGGGAAAAATATGATAATTAGAGGAATTACGATGTGCATATTAAATAGTTTTACAAACTTTTATTTAATAGATGATTGGGTCGGTAGGTCCTATTAAAAAAAGTTAATGAGATGCATTGATCCAATAATTTACATTGATTTTGTGAGTAAAAAGTAATAGGTTAGTCAGTCAATATAAGAGCACTAGTTATTGTCCATACTTGAAAGTACCACTCAACACAAAATAAAATTATAATTAAAAAAATAAAAGATCATTGCTACAAATTGAACAACCATTCTTACTCAAAAGTACATTGTCAGAAACTTCGACCAACAAAAAAAAAAATTCAAAATTAATAACAATATCTCAACACCAGTAAAATAATTCCAATTTGAGAAATTTAAGTAGGGAAAGATTATTTTTTTATTTTTGTAATGGAATTTTTTTTTTTTTGAAATAGAACTTCTGTGAACCCCCTGACAAACAATGAAAACAGTTATCGAACGTATTTCTATTTTCGATTTTTAAAAAAAGTGAAAACATAAATAAAAAAAAAATAAACACAATTATAAAACACAACCTAAACAAAAAAAAAACAAAAAAAAAAACATGACACTAGTTCCTTAGTAGCCCTTACATTTTTTTTTTTTGCTAAATAAAAATTGAGATTAAAGGGAAAAAAAAAAGGGGTACAAGATATAATCGAGCAGGCTCGAGACATGTCCGAAGACCTTACGCATTACTTTTGAACCTATTTTATAAAGCAAATCAATCCCGCAGAGATTAAGTGTATGAAATCACAAATAAAAAGATATCATATATCTAACCGATTACCGATTATCTATTTACTCCACCTCTGTCATTTATGCCTTTTTATAATAAGTCTTGTAGATGACTTTCGTACCAAAACTTTCCGACGTGAATTCGTTCCATATCCTTGAAACATTTTTGATAATGCAAGTTTTGCAAAAACTAATTCTAATGAAAATTCATCCATGGATTGCTCTGAATCGTTGGATAGAAAACTGTCCCCATCCATCCCCACCATCAAAGTCATCTCCATTGCATGCTGGCTCGATTTCCTCGTCTTCTCTTTGGCGTTGAAAGGCATCATGTATCATGAATTATTCAAAATAGAAAACTATTATTTAGAACTAATTTGAGTACCTCATCAATTACAGTCGTTAGATTGAAATTGAACGTTATCTAACAATAAAATTCAAACCAAATCCAACGACAACATTGAATTAAACCCTTAAATAGGTCCGCAGATGTACCATTGCTCTTTGAAAAATAAAAACCACCTCTTTCAATTATTACCAAATTTCTCCCTTATTTATTGAAAAAAATACCAATCTTAACTTCCTTGGTTTTGTTAAGAATTCCATTCTAAGAGTCAAAACAAAAGAGCCGATTATCATGAGGGAATTGCATAAAAAGCTCATCTAAACAAACTAAACAGAACCACTAAAAAAAAAAAAACTAGAATAAATTACATCCAACTCCCTTGATATTTAATCAAATAACAACTAAACCCTCTCGTATGAAAAATAACACTGACCTCCCCTTTACTAGGGTTGTTAATGGAATTGATTTGAATTTTGAGGTAAATTTAGCTTAATTAATTAAATGATACTCTTTGTCCTGTAAAGACTTTGCTTTCTTGAAGTCAAAGGTTTAAATCACGCTCTCCTTTCCCCTTCTCCTTAGAAGAATAAAAAAAAATTAATAGATTAGATTTAATTTGAATTTGAGATTAATATAATTTAATTAACATAATCAATTAAATTTTGTATGGGCTTAAAAATAAAATTAACTTAATTGGTAAATTAATTACAAGTCAGTGTTATTTCCCATACAATAGAAGGTCTAGTTGTTATTTGATCAAACCTCAAGGGACGTATATGTAATTTACCCAAAAAACCTACCAAAACAGAAACAACAGTGTCGCTTTCCGCTATACTTTATCTGTCTCTTACTTTCAAACATCTCGTAAAAAACCTGATTTTCTTTTCATTCTCTCTCCTTCAAACAAGAACTACACTGGAAACTTTTGTTTCAGAAAACATATATGTGCATATACATGTTTAGTAGTGTGCCATGAAGGAAAAGATTCACCATTGTCATCATCTTCCTTGCTCTTTCTTCTTCTACACCCTCTTTCTCATTGTCATCAATGTCTCCACCACCCAACAGATCCTTGTATCTGCCAATGCCCACATCAACAATTCTGAACTTCAAAATATCCGGCAGAGACAGCTCTTGTCCTACGATGGAGACCCTCTGGCCATCAACCCATCGCTTGTTTTGGAGAACCCGAGACTCAAGAATGCTTACATTGCATTGCAAGCTTGGAAAGAAGCCATTCTTTCAGATCCATACAACATAACTGCTAATTGGGTTGGATCAGATGTTTGCAGCTACTCTGGTGTGTTTTGTTCAAATGCACCTGACGATCTGCAGGAACTTACTGTTGCTGGCATTGATCTCAACCATGGTGATATTGCTGGAAACCTCCCACATGAATTAGGCCTGCTGTATGATCTCGCATTGTTTCACATCAATTCAAATCGCTTTTGTGGTAAGCTCCCTTTGAGCTTATTGAACTTGAAGCTGTTGTTCGAGCTAGATCTAAGCAACAATCGCTTTGCTGGTAAGTTTCCTCAGGTTGTCCTCCAATTGCCAAAACTCAAATATCTGGACATAAGATTCAATGACTTCGAAGGTGAGCTTCCAAAAGAACTCTTTGAGAGAGATCTTGATGCCATATTCATCAATGATAATAGGTTCTCTTTTGAATTACCTGAAAATATTGGCAACTCGCCTGCATCTGTTATTGTTTTGGCAAACAATAAATTTCAAGGATGCGTACCTGCAAGCTTAGGCAACATGTCAAAAACAATGGATGAATTGATTCTCACAAACAACGGGTTTCATTCATGTTTGCCGAGTGAGATAGGGATGCTGAAGAATTTGACAGTGTTGGATGTGAGCTATAACAATTTAGTGGGTACCTTGCCGGATAATATCAGAGATATGGTTAGCTTGGAACTGTTGAATGTGGCTCACAACATGATGTCTGGGAAGATTTCTGATAGCGTCTGCTCACTTCCAAATTTGAAGACTTTTAGGTCCGAGTACAATTTCTTTTCGAATGAGACACCCTCGTGTTTGAATCTGCCTGGTTTTGGTGATAGGAGGAATTGTTTGAAAGGGAGGCCAATGCAGAGATCTACATTGCAATGCACGAGGTTTTTGTCACAAGGAATTAATTGCAGCAGTTTTAAATGTGCTCCACTTGTTTCATCGCCCCCACCTAAGGTTTTATCGCCTCCACCACCTGTTTATTCCCCTCTATCACCTCCACCGCCAACTCAGCTACCACCACCAACACCTTCACCACCCCCACCATCTCCTCCACCTCCTTCACTGCCCCCACCATCTCCTCCCCCATCTCCGCCACCAGTCTCTTCACCACCATCTCCAATTCACTGTACTTGCAATCTATCGCCACCTCCACCCCAATACTTGCCACCACCATCCACAGAGTTACCACCACCACCGCCGCCTTTGCATTGATTTTTTTAAGACCTATCTCCTATATTCCTGTTCAAAAAAATAAATAAATAAAATTTAGTTCTTGTAGTTGCTTCATCAGTCTTCCCGGACCAAAAAGGGTGTTCTGAAATTGTCAAAGAATTGGTTTCAGAATGATGTTACTTGAGTTGGACTAAGAAGGAAAAAGAGAGGAAGAGAAATTCTCCTTGTCTATCTGAAATTTTTGGCATCCTCTTCTAGTAGTTAATAAAATGGAACATATATAGAGTAGATTGCAGCAGGGATTGTAAGTATAGAGATGAGTCTGCCATTGACCAAATGGTGATCATGAGCAGGGTCTTTTTTGGGTCTACTTCTAGACGTCTGTTAGCATTTAATTTTGCATTGCAATCTTATTTCTCTACTTTTACATTTCATTGTTACATTCAGTTTCAGCTCATTTATCTTGTACTATTTTTTTGGTTTAACTTTTTTTCCTGTCAAAAAGAGTCTAAAGGCAGAGAATGCATCACGATTTTGTCAGCTTTTTTGTTATATCTTGAGTGATCCTATTTTCTCTTCTCGATTGAGCTCTTCGTTCCAAATCTTCCTAATGAAATCATCACAATTCAGAAGTATATGTTGCAGCTTGAAGATTTTACAATGATAAAAGCATTTATATAGAAAGTTGTAACACTGCAAATCAAATGTAGTCAATAAATAATACCAGCCTATACAAGGAAACATTTATTCGACTGAGCAAGAAAAGCAAATATGGAGTACTCACTATAGGTGGGGAATTGGTTGACACACGTGTCTATGCCAGGATAATCGAAGGTATGAGTAAGATAAGTGGATGGGATGGAAGAAACTCGAGTTACCTATTAGACCAATCAGTTGGGCAAAGAGTAAGTGGAGAGGATAACAGCTCTCACCAACCAGGATGTCTATCTCAGACCGGGGAGGTAATGCAAGTATTTATAGCACAGTGTCCGGACAAGTCAAACTGCCCCAGGGGCTTCTTGCCGCTGCCCTCTGACACCCACGCAACCTACAACTGATTCGACTGCGGCGACACCGGTGGCCGCTCACCACGAGTCCCAACATTAATTAGGCGGAAGTGATGTTTCCTCAAGCGCAGCCTGGACGCAGCCCCCAAGGAGGAGTGTACCAGGCGAGTCAAAAATGGGGGAAGCGTGTGCCAGGCGAGTCAAAAAGGGGAAGGCTCCCAAGGTCAATGACCATGATTGGTCACCGCAGGACCATGATCGCTGAAGGGTCATGCCTGACATCTGGGGTCTTCCTTTCCCTCTCTGAACTTGTTTTCAAGACCTTTGTTGAGGTGCCCAATAGAGAAAACCCACATAATTTCGATCCTTCCCCCACCAATCCACATGTGCTAACATCCCATACGTTGATCTAGATCCCAGTTAAGCACATCCCAATGGCCAATGAGGTACACATTAGGAGGTCTGTTCGAGTAAACTAAACTTTCAAGACCCTGCCCCAGGCCAAGGTCAACAATCACACTCGTCCACTCCCGTTGCTCAGTTCTTGTTGTCTGTACCAATCCTGCTAGACCTTGTTGGCCCCCCACAGCCACGTAAGCTGCCAACTCTTGCCATTTGTGCCTTCATGTTGTGGACATGTACCTGAATTTATCAGTTACTACACTCAGCAAACAGGTCTGATACGGTAAACCATGTATTGGAAAGAAAAAGAGGAAAACCACGATTACCAAGTTGTATGCCATAACTAAAAGCTAAAATGGCCTTGTTCCATATTGATGACTTAAGGTACAATCCAATCTAAACATTAATGTAGACATCGTAAATGTAGAAACGTATACAGGATTATCTACACTTTTACCCATAAAGGATCAATTGATTCTCACTTTGGTCCTTATACATTTTGTTTTTGGTGTGCGTGTGTCAACTCCATTCCTCGTGTGTCCAAAATTTAGGGATGAAATAGAAAACAACTCAAATGTTATGGCCAAATTGAGAAAATAAAATAAAAATTTATACATTGCAAAAAGATGACAAAAAAAAAAACAACTTTTGGACCAAAGTAAAAAGGGGCTGATACATTAAGGACAAAAAGTGTAACCAATTACTTTTCCAATTTCAACCAATGCCCCTGATTATCCATCACATGCAGGGTACGTGGCACTTTGTATACAGAATTTAGACGACAATTACCAAAAAAATGAGGGATGAAATTGACACAAAAAAGTTTTCAAGGATCAAAGTGGTAATTGAGTGATACTTTAGGGATGAAAAGTGTGACCAAACCATATAGACCATGATTCTGTTTGCCTATTTTTAAGATAAATACAAGTACTGACAGCGGTATTGGATTCGCACCATCCCTTTATTGGAGAAAGGATTAAGTCAAGGAACAAGTGAGTGACTGAGATAATCTTGTCAGGACATAGATCTTGGGCAGGTCTGCTAACTGCACAAAGTCCTATAGTTAATGGTATCAGAATTAACAAAAAGACATCTAAACTTTTATGCTCTTCATTGTAAGACAGAGAATGTGCTTAAGGATGAGTTCTTAGCTTAAAATACAGCTCAATTACAAGCAAACCACAAGACATGGAGATATTTGAAATTGAAACCAGGATGGTAGTTAATATTTCTAAATGACTGGGTCTGAGCAATAAACAAAACATTTTACACACAGTAGAGAGGGCTCTTAGTTGCTCACTACGAAACCATCCTCGCTCCATAACATAAGGTTTCAATTCATAAGAAAGCCTGATCTATAAGACATCAGCCCCAAGGTCTGTGTTTGGTTGCAACAACCCTTAATGATGCAATTAACGGCAATGATACCATGTCACGAATCTAGGAAAAAATTTCTTAAAAAAAGCAAAAGAAAAGTGCAATAAGGTAAAATTTAAAACTAATAGAACAAAATGGATCAATGTCAAGGGCATTAGACCTCTCAATGTTCAATATCCTCAATGGATCCACCAATGAAATAACTACACTGAAATATAAGAAAATATTTTCAGATTATACAGGTTTTTAGTTACTTTCCTGAAATCAATTCAACTAACATCATGAAAGTGAAAATATCACAAGATCATTGAAAGCTGACATTTCTTTGAAACACACAAAAAAACCAGTTACTTTATATAGAACTGGTGGATCCACAAATGAGCCTAGACATAAAACCATTCACAATCTGCACAAAGATAATGTGCATATGGTCATATAACTGAAGTTTCATGGATCACGCGGAATGGACTAGAAGTGTTGGAAAACAACTTCTGTTGAAAAAAAAATGACATGAAATAAGGTATTTATTGATATATGTTTTTTGAAAATAACGAAGCCACTGGTTCACTGGTTAAAATGCGGCCCAATAACATTGAGGTTATGGGTTCAAGCCTGAGAGCAGTCACTTTGTGTAAATAATGTCAAAGTTAGGTTGGTACCCAATTTACCCCTTCCAAATCCTTATTAATTTGCGCCGGGGTGGGGGGGGAGGGGAGTGCATGTGAATATTTCATAGCTAAAAAGGTAAGGGAGTTTACTTATGCACCATTCACATGATATATCTTGAAACTGCATGCTGAGTCCACCTCACAATCATACATCTACCATTAACCTTCTTGCTAGGTCTCCATGTTCAAAAAATTCATATCTCGCATGCCAAGTTCTCTGCAGTAACAAATTCAGGCAACTCAGTTTTACTAAGAAAGATGAATTTTTTTTTAATAAGAAATAAAACTTGTTAAATAAAAAGGAGAACAGCATAATAGTGGATAAGGAACCCACCCCTTGAAAACATAAAAATACATGAAAAATTAAATCATCCAAGAACTTAGAGGATGATCTTCTAATGACAAGCCGCAATCCAATCAAGCTGAATTACAAACAAAGGAGTTATATTTATAAAAGAAAGATCCACACCTAAGTTGTGCTGAAACCAGCTATATTAAGATTTGAAGAAGCAAAAAAACCAAAACAAAACTTAAGTCTGTGCAAAAAAAGGAATTGCTGAACCAATTTGATTTATATTTGTTTAATTATAAATACTTAAGTTAGACCCTATCCAATAGTTTAAACGTTTGGAGTAGATAGTTGTTTAACATGGAATCAAAGCGAGAGGTCTTGTGTTCAAATCTCGCCGCCACCCTAATTATTAAAATAGTTTCCATGTGCTAGACTCAAAATCTAGCTGGCACGTGAGGGGTATGTTAAAGTATAAATACTTAAATTACACTCTCCCCAATAGTTTAAAGTTTTGGTGTAGATAGTTGTTTCACAACATTAAAGAACTGTTTTAACGTCTGAAAACCATCAAATGATAAATAAACAAAATTGTTCCGAGCATCTGAATGAAAATAACATGTACCTCCACAGTAAGAAGTGGAGTTTTTGGGGGACCTTGAACCCTTCAAATACACAGATGACCATTCTTGCTCTAGTTTCCAAGTCTGACAGTTGGTAGATCAGAGAAGGTACCCAAGAGAACTCCACAAACTAAGACACCCAGGGCAATTAAAGAACTTCAATAGATATATTTGCTTCCCCTTCCATGATATCAATGAAGTTGAGAAAAAAGCAGGAGATTATCTGCTATTTGAGTGTTCACTTCGGGAGATAAAGGCTGGAGCAGCCCATTATTAGACAAGTCTTCCAAGCTTTTGATGTCTTGTTGTAACCGTGTTGCGTGTAAAATGGCATGATCAAGAACAAGGGGATCATCTGGGGGGTTCTGCAGAAGGTTAAGCAAGACTTGCCTATAAACTTGTGCTGAAATTAATGGCCTTGCTACCTGCTGCTTTTTACACGAGATTGCCACCTTAATTGCATGCTTACAGAGATTCCCCTGCCTTGACCAGGGGCAATCACAGAAGGAGAACTCCGAACCAGGGTTCCAAATTGTATACGCCACACTTCTGTCTGCCTGAGAGACAACTTTCGCAAGCTGGAGGTTTTCCTCATATAATAACACATCAATATCAGGGATGAGCATAGCCTTATACCAAGAGTTGGTTGAGAAGGACTCATCCCTTAGATTTTCTAAGTACCCGGTCTCCATTATATATTGATCGAGCCAATACAAGGAGTGCAATTCAGTTGTCAATGCATGGATCAACCAGTCAACTCTGTGCCATGAATTAGCATGTTTTGTGTTCAGAATTTTAGATTTCAACCTCAGATGATGTGATTCAATAGCAGCATAAGGCTCTTGACTTGCCACAGGGAGAGTGTTTATGCTATTCACCCACAGTTCTGTGAAACACAACATCATGTTAATATTTCAAGGTCTGACATACTAATAGTAGAAGTCAAGATTTTAAGACAGTCTTTGAAGCCTTGGTCATTATTTAAAATTAAACAGTAACAATATTATAGATGTACCATAATATGCAATGACCACAATCAGTTAATTAAATACGTACGATGTGATCAACATGTAAACAGAAAAGGAAACTAACATGGTGATTATTGTTATAACAGTGAAAACATGGGAAAGAGCAATTATTTGTTTATAATCATGCAGTCAGAATGAGAGGACTAACCTATCCTTGGTACCCATCGGATCCTAAAATAATCCATAAAGGCACACTGATCAACAAATATTTGCATGAACTCTTCAATCGCAACTAGAGTGTTCGGCCCACTTCTTGAGCAATACAAAATCCTGCCTAAATGCTTAAACATGTCTCGTTGAACATCAAAGTTGCAGCATTTCTTTAAAAGGCTTTTAACCCAAGCACGGCGAACATGCCAGAGGCATAACAGAACACGGCATTGAAAGGCACCTCTGCATTTGAGTGGTACAATATCAGCCTTCTTCACTTCAAACCAGCATTGTGTAGGGGACAAATTAAAGGATCAGAGATTCAGAATGAACCAATTACCGGATATAAGAAGCCTCAAAAGAAGGATCATCCACTAAAAATGCATTGGGTCTCCATCTGGGGTCCTTGTTCTGGATGCGCTCAACAAGCGATAACATCCATTTTTGGATACCTTGACCAACACAACAGGAGGTTATGACCCAGGCAACCGGAATTGCATTCCGAGATGGATCAAAAACAAGTAACGAGCATAGGGCATACTGTAAAATTCGAAAGAAAAAAGAAAAAGGTAAAAAACATAACTCAAAAGTGCAAAGTCATTGTTAATACATCAGAACCTTAAATATTAAATCAGAGCAGTTGTATAAATATTAATTACAACATGTACTTAAATCCTAAACATTACCCAATGCAACAGCACATCCCATGAGATGAGTTTGAACCATCAAGTTGCATCTTTGGAAGCGTAAACAGCAAAAGAACATGGAGATGCAAAGCATGGGAACAAAGAAAGAGAAAATTGGGATTTAAAAAAAAAAATCTAAGGTTATTCGAATTATTATTGGCCCAGATGGGACGATATATAACAAATTTTGGGTTGATCTTAGGTAAATTTCCTACGATGAATTGATTTATTTATGTTTGGATTGTCTTAAGAGTCAATGGCACCCTTGTAACTTCCATATTTGCCAGAGTAGATGTCATCTGTGTGTCTTATTTGGCTTCAAATTAGGGTAATTGGGTCATATAGACTCATATACGAAACCTATCAGTGGGACAGAATTTCTCATCAAAAGTAGAAGTCCCACAGCTTGTAAATACGTATATTTCATTCCATACAAGTTGACTATTAAGAATTCGTGAGAAACTTTCAAAGCTTCTTGTGATGTTTGATGCAACCTTACTTTGCAGGTATTCCTAAGGAGTTCTAGGTGGATTTTATATACTTATTATAATTTTTGTTCCCCCCCCCCCCACACCACCAGGCCTTGCTACTACAAGTAGACGTTGCTAAGTATTCTATCCACCTGCAACATCCGTCTTATCCTATTTCCCTAACTCTTTGCCGTACATTTAACATCAAAATCTATATAGTAGGTTTTTTCACAAATTCCAGCATCTAGTCTCATGAAACTCCGGAAAACAACACTTTCTAATCAGCAAAACAATTCCAACTCTCTTCAATTCCCTAACCCCTAACCTTTCCTTCAATCATCATAAACCCTAAATTAGCCCACAGGAAACAACTTGTCCAAGGGACATTCCGAGTTTCCTGAAGCTCTCTTACATCAGAGATTTTAGACTTTCCTACTTCGCCACTATCATTCCAAATTCTCAAATGTTTTGACAATAGTGAAGCGGAAAGGGACGAGAGAGTAAAGGTTCATTTTGTTATTCATTCATGAATGTTTTGCATAATGCCAATTGAGTAACAACATATGCTTCTCTGTTCTTCTAATTCTTTTTTCCTTCCAACATGCACAATTCCCCTGTCCCTCTGACCAGTTCTACACTTTTTCTTTGTTGTTTAAAATTGTTACCCTGTTTTCACCTTCGCTGCCTAGCTCCACAACTTCTTTTGCTGATATTTTAAACAATTTCCTTATCTACATTACATCAGACGCTGATGATTCCAAAGACCAAGAACAATATTCTCCAAGTGATGCTTGATGCATAAATGACAGATGGGATGAGGCAATTGCAAACACCTGAAATTAAGAGAAAGATACGACATGAAAAGAACTAAACCTTTAGCTTATTCAAGCCAAATGCTGAATGAGAAGCAATGGAACCACTATGTCCATAACGAAGCATCTGTTGCAGCTGCCAATCTGTCTGTATCCCTAAAATAAACGGTTCGGATCCAGAGTTATCTTGGAAGAAGAAAACATGCTTATGGTGGCGTTGCACCCACATCTTTACACTACATTCATCATTTGCATGTAACTCATGTGAGGAATTACGAATAAGCCTTTCCATATTACGGATATCATTGCGTGTAAGAAAATCATCACGATTATGTGGCCCTCCATGCCTCTGCACCTCTTCCGTGTGATGCTGGATTATATTGTCCAAAGATACTCCCACATAAAGCATAGACATCACTTTCTGGCGGAGTTCCTCTGATATCCGAGGGGCATACATAGCCCTTGTTCCCACAGCATCCTGATCAAGTATACCATGACATGGAGCTCCTGTTTTATCCACATGGTTTCGCTGATTGTAGATGATCAAGGCAAGGAAGGGGCGGGTGTATAAGCGTTTAACAGTAAAATGGCACAGGCATCCTCTCATCATGTGACGTCTACCCGGCCTGCTTCCCTTGCCTGAAGCAGGTTTAATGTTTGAGCTGTCCCCAAGATCAGACTCAGTATCCCGGTAGTCTTCAGGACCATAAGAACACCAGTATCTAAAAAATAACAGACAATAAAATCAGAAATTTTTTAAAAAAAGCAAAAAGACGAATGGATTCAATGTGAATTAAAAATTACTCATCATATGCCCAATGCTTAAGAGTTAACCACAGAAATAAGAATATATCCGCATGTTCTAGACAGAAAACTTGTTTCTCAAAACTTGATAGTAAGCAGGATGATTCATATGCTATCTGGTTTATAAAAGGAAAATATCAGGTTAGAAGGTTCCATTTAAACTGCCTATTGTAATTCACATTACAACTTACAGAATTGACATACAGTGTATATTCAAGATATCCATCAACCCTTGGTTTGCTGACACTCCCTTCAGCTCTCTTCCTTCTAGACTCGATGCGGAAACTGGCAGGGCATTCTGCATTAGCAGATTCTCCTTTTACAAAATCATCCACTCTAACAAAAGGAATTAGAGCAATGTCATCACCACCTTGACGACCACCTTCTACTTTCACCCAGTTTAGTTGAGCTGCAGAAAACTCTGCACAAGGAGGATCCTGCACTGGAAGGCTTAGAATGTCCTCCATTCTTGGCATCTGCAAGAAGAACAAAAATAACCACTTGAAAAGCCAGCAGATGCAGAAACAACAAGAGGAGCAATTTATGTCATTACCAGATAATGGAAGAGACTACCTGTAGTGCCATAATAGCCTTTCTTTCCCTATCAGAGAATTTAGAGTTGGGAAACGGGAAGAGGGAAAGGAAACCATGATGTAATATGCAAAAAATGCACAAAATGATAAACAGATGCATTTGGTCTGATTTGGTTGATACGAGAGAGAGTATGCTAAAATAGAAATGTATTGTCACAGGTCACTCAGACTTGATAAGTGAACCCTATTTGTCAACGATTTGCATCTTTTTGTTGTGAAGGTTTCAGAGGTACAAGTNGCATCCTCTCATCATGTGACGTCTACCCGGCCTGCTTCCCTTGCCTGAAGCAGGTTTAATGTTTGAGCTGTCCCCAAGATCAGACTCAGTATCCCGGTAGTCTTCAGGACCATAAGAACACCAGTATCTAAAAAATAACAGACAATAAAATCAGAAATTTTTTAAAAAAAGCAAAAAGACGAATGGATTCAATGTGAATTAAAAATTACTCATCATATGCCCAATGCTTAAGAGTTAACCACAGAAATAAGAATATATCCGCATGTTCTAGACAGAAAACTTGTTTCTCAAAACTTGATAGTAAGCAGGATGATTCATATGCTATCTGGTTTATAAAAGGAAAATATCAGGTTAGAAGGTTCCATTTAAACTGCCTATTGTAATTCACATTACAACTTACAGAATTGACATACAGTGTATATTCAAGATATCCATCAACCCTTGGTTTGCTGACACTCCCTTCAGCTCTCTTCCTTCTAGACTCGATGCGGAAACTGGCAGGGCATTCTGCATTAGCAGATTCTCCTTTTACAAAATCATCCACTCTAACAAAAGGAATTAGAGCAATGTCATCACCACCTTGACGACCACCTTCTACTTTCACCCAGTTTAGTTGAGCTGCAGAAAACTCTGCACAAGGAGGATCCTGCACTGGAAGGCTTAGAATGTCCTCCATTCTTGGCATCTGCAAGAAGAACAAAAATAACCACTTGAAAAGCCAGCAGATGCAGAAACAACAAGAGGAGCAATTTATGTCATTACCAGATAATGGAAGAGACTACCTGTAGTGCCATAATAGCCTTTCTTTCCCTATCAGAGAATTTAGAGTTGGGAAACGGGAAGAGGGAAAGGAAACCATGATGTAATATGCAAAAAATGCACAAAATGATAAACAGATGCATTTGGTCTGATTTGGTTGATACGAGAGAGAGTATGCTAAAATAGAAATGTATTGTCACAGGTCACTCAGACTTGATAAGTGAACCCTATTTGTCAACGATTTGCATCTTTTTGTTGTGAAGGTTTCAGAGGTACAAGTAAAGGATAACGGATCCCCAACTCTACGTTTTCAGACTTATCTGGAAATTTGAAAAATTACGTCCACAATAAATCAAACAACTTAAACCATTCATCAAAAGGAGGCTGCATCAAGCTAGTGAACCTTTTAATACAGGGAAGGTCCACTATGTTCTCCTTGTAACCGATGGTCTTTTTATTTCATGTGATCACCACTCCCCTAGAGTCTAGAAAGACACAAATGAACTGGCAAAATCTATCAGCAATTGTAAAATCGTAGTATCTTATAAATTAAAAAGTTCTGCCAAAATCACTTGAAAACATCAAAGGCAAAACAAAAAAGGTAAAAAAGTGCAACACAATCATATTAAAATGTGATTTAACTTCGGAGTTTTAACTCTCGAACAACCAAGAATCCATTCGCAGGAACATTAAGATCCCCAACTGTTGAAATCAACTGTGGCTGACCATATTCCCATCAAATGTTTTAACCACTTGCAGATCTATCATGCTCTAGGAACACAAAGCTAGTCTTTTCAACAGATTGAGAGGATTTCTCCGTATAAGTAACATTTTTTGTCAAAGTTCTGAAATAATGGAATCACACAAGCTTAATTACGAACACAAAAACAGGATAAAAAGGAAGGAAGGCAATCAAACAAACTATTCTTTTTATGCATACACTTAAGTAGAACCCAGAAAGATCGATTTGTCTTTTTATTTCCCATTTTAACAGTTTCAAACAATTTTTAAAATTCTGATCAGGGACAGACATTATTTCTAATGAATGAGCGAAAAACTAAACTAATAATAATGTCAGAGTTTAAAAAAATGATCACAAGTTATACCTTTCCTTCATGACCCTTCATGTTTCCTCCAAGTCAACCTTTCTGACACTTATCTGCTGGGGAATAAAATCTATATGAGGTAGGTAAATACAGCATTTACCAGGAAATATCTTAGAATGCTATTCAAAGAGGCTGTTTGATATTCTTAAAAGCTTAGAAAAACAATTAGAAAATACCCAGAAAGGAAAATTGTGTAAATCAAACGAAAGACGAGTTGGGAGTGAAAGATAATTAGAAAAACCCAGATGAGAAAACGTTTAGGAAACCCAAGAACAAACGGTGGCAAAAGAAAAGAAAGAGCTACTGGAATATTAGAGAAAACAATAGAAAAACAAGTTCAAAATAAGACTAAAAAAAAATGATGCAAAACCTTTGAGAGATTATGGATCCTTGCAAGTTTCTCTGCGGAGCACTCTCCTTCTTTCTCTCTCACTGTTCGCTATTCAGACAAGGGTGTGAAATATGACCGTCAATTGGGCCATACTGACCCCAAGCCCGCCCCTCCAGCCTGCATATTTTTCACGGAAAGAGGAAAGTAACGGGCCGTTCTGAGCCTACACAGCCCAAAGGTCAGCAGTCCCCAACGGCCTAGGACAGCCCCTAAAAATTAGGTCACAAACAGGACACGAACTCAATACAAGAAGACACGTCCGATCAATAAACACAAATAATAAATTAATTAATTAAAAATTAGAATATATCTATATAATAAAGTAGCTAAAAAAATTTGCCTTGAACTTTTTGTGGCTTAGATCACTTGACAATTATTAATCCGACGATTCTCACGCAAAATTTTTTCAAGACTCCTATCTCTTATTTAACTCTCTCCCTCTCATACTAATTGATACAACTCTTTCTTTCTCTATCTCATACTCTCTCTCACATAATAAAGACTATAATTAATACTCGAATAAAAATAAAAGATAATTTTTCGTAGAAAAAATTAAGTCAAATGAAAGAACTTTCTTTTACAAAAATGCATAATAAAATGAAGGTAATATGAAAAAAGTCATATTATAATAAAAAAAGACTAAATAATTGAAATAAAAAAATTATATGTATATAATGTTTAGAATATATAAATGTAAATATACATATCATATAAAAAAAATGAGGGTGGGCTTTTAGCTTTGTTCATGTATGTCATTTTATATATATTTATCTATCTATATAGAAAAGTTTGTCTTAATTTTTTTGTGGCTCAGATCGATTAACGATTATTGATCAGACGGTCCTCATGCAAAAAAATTTCAAAACTTCTATCGCTCTTTTAACTCTCTCTATCTCATACTAATTGATACAACTCTTTCTTCCCCCCCTATCTCATACTCTCTCTCCTATCTCTCACATAATAAAGACTATAATTAATACTCGAACAAAAATAAAAGACAATTTTTCGTAGAAAAAATAAAGTCAAATGAAGATTAATTGAAAGAACTTTCACTTGTGAAAATTCATAATAAAATGAAAGTAATCTGAATAAAGTCTTATTATAATAAAAAAAGACTAAATAATTGAAATAAAAAAATTATAGGATGAGTACAAGTAAAAAATATGAATATAATTTTTAGAATATATAAATATAAATATACATATCATATCAAAAAATTGAGGGTGGGCCTTGTGTAACTCTGTCTATATATGTCATTCAATATATATTTATCTATCTATATCTATATATGTATAATCCTAATTAAATTTTCATTCCTTTTACATCTTTCTCTCTCCTATATCTCACCACATTTTAAACACACACACTCATATATCATATAACTATCTCTCTATCTACCTCATACTCACACACACACACACACACACTTTTCTCTCTTTATATCCTTAAGGCATATAATAATAAAGTAATAAAAGTTAGAGAGTTTAGCTTGGACAACTATATATATCTAATAATAAAAAAATACATCTAAATACCCATTAAAACTTTAATCTCTCTCTCTAAATATATATATATATATATATATATATATATATATATATATA